TTTTCTGCTATATTTACAAGAATCCTGCATATCTTATTTCCATTGTTTATCACTTGATTCGTGTCAATCTTACTTTTTTGTTCTCATAACTCACATGGATTCACCTTGGTTATTGCCACACACTCTTTTTGTTAGTTTTCTCTTAATGTGTTCTTCAGAGTTGTTTAATACTGTCAGCTGTTTTTGTTTCTCCTTGTGACTATCTTCTAATTACTATGTTCAACAGAGCATAGCTCTGTATTGCTTTGCTGTGTGTGTTTTAAACTTTGGCCTATGAAATGATAAACAAAATCCTTTAAGATTTATTGGGTTGTTTAAATAATGATGATTTTCATTGTTTTCAGTTAACCCATCTTTTAAAAAATGCAAAAAGCTGGTTCTAACATTTTTTCAAAATCTCACTGCAAGTGTTCATTCTGGAGAAAAACAGTTTTTGCTGTGAGGGTATTTAGTGACAAACCCTCCACTGGATGCTTCCCAACTAGCAAATACCAAATAACTGTGAAACTGCTGGATGATCCACTCTCACCGAAAGGGCACAGAGCACTCTCCTCCTGCGTAGCAGTTTGGCTTCCTTTTTAGCAGTCATGGCAGATTTTTCTGAACTGCAGACTTTATGAGGAAATTGCTATAAATGCTGGTACTTGATCTGCACCCGAGGTTGTGGAGGTTATTTCACAATCCTGCCAGTGGAATATGGATTAAAACTGTCCTCAGTCCCCCCTTTTTATGTTCATTTTTTTCATTTTTGGAAGTGTCTGGATCTTTAGCTGAATCCTTTTCACAGCTACTAATCTACTAAATAAAAGGCCTGTGGAGATCATAAAAACATCCAACGCCACAATGATCTAATCTGGAGCTTGAGGAAATGCTGTAAAACCAAAACCAATGTGTTTAAAATTTTGGGAGCGATCTCTCCCCTCTCTCTGTCTCTTTTTCAGGTGGACTCGTGTTGTCATTCTCTAGAGCTGCACTGTTGTTGGATCAGTGTTCTGCCTTCTTAATCTCCTGAAAACTATTTAGGAAAACCTCAGATACTTCCCCAATACTAGATTGTTACAATCACTATTGAGAAGACTGCCAATCCCAATGTATATCTTGTGTTTCCACTCTTGGCCCATTTAGTGATCTTTTTCCGGCATTCCCACTCTGCAGAATCAGTCTGCATTTTAGGGCAGTTTCGCTCCACATTTCTCCAGTTGGTCATATTCCTTCACCCCGTATGGACAGCTCACTGTTCAGCTTCCACATGTATGCTGCAGTGGCCGCTGTTACTCGCAACTAACTGGCATTTTTTTCCAGCCAACACACTTTCTTTTAAGCAGAGTTTTTTTTTCTTTTTTCTAGAAACTTGGGTTTACTTTGATGACACTCCCTCACCACCGCTGCTCCTTCCTCCTCACCTCAGATGGCTGGACTGTCCCAGACCTGGATAATGACAGTCAACAAGTAAGTGTTGGACATTATACTCACAATCTTTTTAGAGGTCCTCATCTCCCACAGGAACTCGGGGCCATTGCTTTGTATATTCGGACTGTCTAAAGGTCTTTTTGAGTTTTTTTGGTTTTTTTTTTTTGTTTTTTATGGGATGTGATTATGTCAGCTTATAGCCAGGTGCCTGAACCCCTTCTCGAGTCTCATTGGCAGCTTGGTTTTAAAAATAAAAACAACAGTAAAAACAAGAACAACTATATTTCAATTAAAAACTTCAATAAAATAAATAAGTTGTTGACAAGCTTTGCTCATCCTCTGCAGTTAGTAATTTTAGAACTCAAAACTTATTATTATAACATATTTTTAAATTTGTACTACAGCATATGGTATGTTTACAGAATAGCTTTTTTCTCTGTGGTGTGTCGCTTTAATTTCAAAGATAAGTCACAATTCTCAAAGATGAAGGAAAAAACTATAAAAAAATGACTATGAGTTTGCACCACAGATGTTTCTGTGCCCTTTATGATAATGTCATGGAATGGTAATTATGTAAATTTTATCCTCTACCACTGCGTCACCCAATCTTTTACTTTCTATTCCATTTGAGTCCAAAGCAGACAAAACAGTTGACAGTGGACATATCACGTAGAATATATGCTGCTTCAATTTAATCTGTAAGATTTGGATTCGGATTTGTAGCCCAGAAAACTATCACTAAACATACGCAGATGCATGCTCCAGCACACCTAAAGTCTGATTTTAGCAGGGCTCACATATTTATGAATACAAAACATGCTTAAACAAAATGGTTTTATTGAAATGAATAGATGTTTTTTCCGGTAACTGCTTGAGGGAATGCATTGTTAAGCTTCTACAATCTTTGTAATAGAAGACACTGTAATGAAAAATGAAAATTCTGATGAGAAAGTCACTTCTATAAACCCAGTTAATCAATCACAGAGAGCCTACTGCATGCAGTTAGCTGAAGCATTATACAAAAACAACTTGATTACAGTTGCTGTTGATTCAGAGAAGTGTGATGTTAAAGCTGACGTGAACTGCTTGCAAATTACAAAAAGCAACAGCTGCCATACTCATTTAACACTTTGCACACTCTCCTTGTATCTACATATAAAAGCCACCGGGATCGATGTGGAGTCATAGAGTGTCTCTAGAATGGGAAATCAATGACCACAAACATTCATTATGGGAAATTGCCACAAAGGGGTTGCTTTTTTTACTGGCCGGGGTGAGGGTTGGCTGTCAGGGCATGTTGAAAATGTGTTATTAAAATCCCACCGTTTTATTTACTGCAATGAGCATTTTTATATGGGTTTTGATGACTCTTAAAGGATTTGCCAAGTAAAATCCTGTGGGAGAGGCATGCACTACAGAACTGTATTTTTTTTGTGTTTTTTACTTTGTGGCATCAAACATTAAGTGGAGTTTTAACTCTTGTGTCCACCTCAGCAGTAATCTGACAACTCTTAAAATACAGGCTAGAGATTTAATCACAGACAAACAGAGAGATGGAGGAGTACACAGCTGCTGAATTAAAGCTATTTAACTTCAGAAACTGAACTCAGCAAGTTTCTTAATATTTTTTTGAAACATTTCTAAAAAATCTTTAAGAAGCTTTCTACATTTACGTTGTTAGATTTCATTGGTGAGACACAAATGGGCAACTTTAATAGACTGTAATCTCTGTCCTTATTCTACATTGTTTGTCTGTGTCCTCTATTTTGTCTTTTTTTCCTTGTCTTTGGATAGCAATCAATAGTTATTATCTGCTGAGTGTCGCGATAGACACAGCATGGAGCCCCCTTTCTGAGTTGATGGTGCTTTTTCATTATGGCTGACACTAGTCTAAACAAAGCAGACCTATTTCCCTGCCACCAGACAAACACAGTCTCCATAATGGCACCAGATAAAAGAGAAGTAGGAAAGAAAATTGAATTTCACATAATGGTGAATCAGTATCTCAGGATGTTTCTTACGGCAATTTTTTGCATTGTCTACTTCAGTCTTTGAAGTATTTGGCTAATACATAAAACGTGTGGATGTTATTTACTTATATAATGTCACCAGGCTGTCCATTCCTAAATCTGTCTTACATTTCCTCCAATTTACTTCCAATTTTGGGTAATTTATCATCCATCCTTCTGTCTGTCTGTGCACTGGTTTGTCCATCCATTCATTTATCCCGCTGTTCGCCTCACCTCATAGGAGGCGGGGTTGTTTTGTTTTTGACGGGGTTGTTGTTTCATAAAATAAATAAATGATATCTGCGCAGCAGAGTGGAAAGCATAACGAATGGCACTTGGAGAAAAGGCAATTTAGGGAGAAGTGTGGAGGCTGCCACGGCAACAGAATGGGTTTTTACTGTGAAGTATAACCAATGCATTACAAAACACATCACCAGAGGTTTATTGAAAAAGCCAAGCACACCTCGCTCCTCCCTTTGCCACCTCCCCATCCAATGAAAATGCCTGACATTATCATTGCCTACATGGTTCGATGCTGAAAGTCAGTCTGAGAAAGTCAAGGCAGACACTTTCATTGCTGTGGTACACATAGGTTGAGGAGAACCAGAGGAATGACAGAGCAAGGTGGTTGTTTTACAATTCACTTTCACATGTGTGGGCAAATATGGCTCCTGACACACAGCGTGGAGTTATGATGTCATATCCTTTCTTTTATTTACCCCACATGTTCATATTAATAGGATGCTGCATTATATGGAACATTATTGAGCAAATCTATGGAAAGACGTTTCATTCAAAATTAAATAATCCCCTGGCTCCCTCCAGCATGCTTCTGCCGGCCACAGCCACCAATTGAGCTCGGCCCTGCTGTCCCAGCGCCAGCCCACAGATAAAACTCCGCCCCCTCATTTGAATATAAGAACGTAAAATAAAAAGAGCTTAAAATGGAAAACGGGGTTAAAAAGTAAAAGTCACTGAAATACGTAAAGTAGTTTTACAAAATAAAAGTGTCACAAAATAAAACTGCATTATGAAATAAATAAATATTTAAGTAAATTAAATAAATCTTGAAATGAATTAAATAAAATAAGATGAAAATTTATTTTAACATAATTATTTTGTTTTATTTTATGGAGATGTTAATTTATTTCATGGAATATTTATTAATAATTTATCAACAGCAGTATTTATTTATTTATTTAATTTTGAATGAAACGGCTCTCCATACAAATCACCTATAATCGCTGCTATGTAGAGGACCAAAGCAATCGAATAAATTAATATTTTGTTAAATATTTGTTTGTGATAAATTTAACAACATTTTATTAATTACAATCAGAAAATAAATTTTAAAAAGTAAATGAAGTTGATTTAAGACAAAAAAAAACTTTTTAATAATTATATTGGCTTTAACAAAATAATATAAGTAAAATCACATTTTTGTGAATTATTTTTGACATTTAAGTTGTTTTTGTTGTTTTAGAAAAGTTTTAAAGATTTCCATTATCATTCAAATGTTGGTTCATTTATTGCTTGTCTTTCTTTCTTTTTTATTTTCATAGAAATAAATGCTTCTAGGCCTGCATGGTGGCACAGTGGGTAGCATTGTTCCCTTGCAGCAAGCATGTCCTGGGTTCGACTCCCAGCCGGGGGTCTTTCTGCATGGAGTTTGCATGTTCTCCCCGTGCATATGTGGGTTCTCACCGGGTACTCTGGCTTCCTCTCCAGTCCAAAGACATGCCTGTTAGGTTAACTGGTCTCTCTAAATTGTGCTTAGGGGTGTGAATGGGTGTGTGCATGGTTTTTTGTGTGTTGCCCTGCAATGGACTGACGACCTGTCCAGGGTGTACCCTGCCTCCCGCCCATAGACTGCTGGAGATAGGCATCAGCTTCCCCGTGACCCACTATGGAAGAAGCGGAATAGAAAATGACTGATTGACTGACTAAATGTTTATATACCAACACATTTATTACATTTTGGCCTTTGATACTTCTGACAAGACCTCGGAGTCTTGTTCACGAGTGAGGGAAGAATGGAGCGGGAGATCGACAGACGGATTGGTGCGGCTGCCGCAGTAATGGGGGCGCTGTGCCAGTCCGCTGTGGTGAAGAGAGAGCTGAGCCGAAAAGCGAAGCTCTCGATTTACTGGTCGGTCTACGTTCCTGCCCTTACCTATGGCCATGAACTTTGGGTCATGACCGAAAGAACGAGATCCCGGATACAAGCGGCTGAAATGAGGGTAGCGTGGCCGGGCACTCCCTTAGAGATAGGGTGAGGAGCACGGCCATCTGGGAGGGGCCCGGAGTAGAGCCGCTGCTCCTCCACATCGAGAGGAGCCTGTTGAGGTGGGTGGGCATCTATACCAGATGGCTCCTGGACGACTTCCTCGGGAGGTGTTCCAGGCACGTCCCACCGGGAGGAGGTCCAGGGGACGGCCCAGGACACGCTGGAGGTACTATGTATCCTGGCTGGCCTGGGAACGAATTGGGCTGAGGAGCTGGAGGAGGTGTCTGGTGAGAGGGACGTCTGGGTGTCTCTGCTGAGCCTGCAGCCCCAGCGACCGGATAAGCGGAAGACGAAGAGTGCAAGTACGAGAAGTTTATCAGGCTCATCAGGTAACTGCCTGAACTTATGTGGATAATGATATTAATCTTTTTTTAATCATCTTTATTGGTCATTGCACATGTACATTACAACGAAATTTGTCTTCTGCATTTAACCCAGTGGGCAGTGGGCTGCCATTGTGCGGCGCCCGGGGAGCATTCTGGGGCTAAGGGTCTTGCTCAGGGACCCAGAGTGGAAATCTGTGGGATACGAATCTCCTGTTCTAACCACTAGGCCACCACTAGGCCCCCACTCCTGTTAGGTCCCGTTAGGTCCCCCAATAGGTCCCCAATAATGCATTGCAGGTTTTCTATGAATAATGGCAGTTTCAAGAAAGGATAATTTTTGTCTCTTGTATGCTGAAATCTTTATGTATCTTGGATCACAGGAGTACAGATGTTCTCAAACCAAATACTAACTGCATGTTACCCCAAACAAGGTTGAAATTGTCAAATCAACAGTAACTACTATGTGAAACTATAATTTTGACCTTTATATTTTATTTGCAAAGTTAGAGTTGCTTAAACAAGGTGACACAGCTTGTCAAAAGTATTTAAAAAGTTGAGTCAGAGAAATTTTCTTTCAAGTCAAATGTTTATTTATGGTATTACTTTTTCAAGAGCGTTTTAAAAGGTTTTTAGAGGTCATCGTATCTTATCATGAACATTAAAATGACATATTTGTGTGTATCTGTTTGGTTCATTTAATTTTTTCAGTGTGTGCTTCCACACTGTTTCACTCAGTAGTGGATCTTTCTTAAATAGCATCCTGGGCTAAATCCCATCTTCCTTACCCCCTAAAGTGCTCACACCTTCCCCAACATTTGGGACTGCAAATGAGATACATAAAACCTGTTTAGGGCTCAACTGACGGATAACCTTTTTTTGTTGGTCAGCTAATGCTGCTCCAAAGCCCTTGACAATGAGCCACATCATCCATATAAATATCCACCACTGGTGACAATGGCTTTACAGTCCATATCTCACCAAGATGTGCCTCTTTCAATATATTTGTTTTTTTTTTGCCAAAAATAAGATTTTGACAGTAGCTTAATGATAATTGCGTGCTTTTTAGGAAAAAGAAAAATCAAAACTAAAGAATCTATGACAGGGAAATATAAATAGCTGAAACCCTGCCTACCTTTAATGCCATGGGTCAGTGTAACAGGAATAAGAGAACTTCATTGTTTCTATGGCAGCTTAACAGTTTTTCGCTTAAAAGTACGCAATGAGGCAAACTACAACCAGGCTACAACAATTTTTTTTTGAGAAACAACAGCAATTAGGAGGATGATAATGCTGTTGTCTGGACACATAAGAAGGTGTATGTACCACAAGATTGGGCTCACTAAGCAGCTGACATAACAGCCGTTTCCTAGCGACCCAGATTGATATGTGTTGTCATTTGTAGTAATTTCGATATTATCTAAGATGAGCATTTTATGTGTTTTTCAGAGGAATTCACTTTCTGTGTTATCTTTATGTTTAATGACTTCAGTATTATTTGAACTGAATATTTTTACCAATGCATGATATTGCAAACAAACATGGTTGAGTCACCTGGAGCAGCGGTGGTATTGACAGCATGCTCCTAAGCTCTGTCGATTATGACTACAAATCTATAGGAATAGTTATTTTTTTCCTTTGTTGCTTCCTATAACATGACTGTATGAAGTGATTGTAAACAAACTTACTTAATAACATAGCTATTAGCCAGTCAGTTAAGAGCATTGCACCGAGTTTTGACATGGCTCTGAGTCACTTGCCACTCTGTCCCTTCACACTTAATCTTTGTTTTGATAGTAACATGTAGGCCTATGTACATCTTTTCGGGGAGCATGTTTGACTGTTATGATTGATTTGTGGGGCACTTCTAAGCTAAAACCTGACTAGATGCTGGAAGCGGAGGGTGCTCCTTCAACATCTAGAGAGGCAACAGATCCTGATCAGTTTGTTTAAAATTACAGTATTCTTCACTGTTTGCACACAACTTTGCAGCACAACATTTTAGCAACAAAACAAAACAAGCAAGCAAGATAAACAAATATAGATTTTTAGGGATATTAATAAAAAAACACTTCCATACATTTCACTGTGGTTGCAGTATAGGTTTTGGCAAGGTAAAACCATATGGAGAATGTGAACTAACTGTATTTGGAAAAAAAACGTTGACAAGACATAAATATATAATTTCAGAAGATGTGTTGACAAGACATTAGTTGGTGTGCTTTTAAAATGCTATATTAAGAGGCATGACTTGTCTGTTTTCTTCAGAAACACCTTTAGTTTTTCTTTAGTTTATACATTCAGATCACAGAGTTTTTTCCTCATTCCTTTGATCTCAGTATCCACCCTGTGGCTTATGTTGCCTGTTCGCTCATGTTGCTGAATGTAATTGTAGCATTACCTAAACACAACTGGTACTACACAAATTGTTCCTATAATTTTTTATACAAACCCTGCTGTTATATATAAAGTGCACTGTGCTACACATTTGACTTAAAATGCGACTGCTGTAGCCATTGTTTTGAATGCAGGTGGGGTGCTATTGACAGCAGAACTAAGCTGTGTCTTTAGAGGGAAAGCAGAGTTCCCTGTTCATTACCCATAGTGTGGCTGAACAAGCCCTTTTTGTTAGAAACAGTCCAATGGAAATCATTGACAGACACTAGGACAATATCAGATTTACACAAGGTCTAAGAATAAATGTGGTGCATTGTGCTGGTAAGCCAGCTTTCTCTACACTAGTAGTATATTGTCCCTTTAGGAAGATTGAACAAAAATTGTATATAGATCAAACAGACACTTTTAAAAGAAGGATTTAGAAGTTTTGAAATGTGTTTGTGTGAAGCTGTTATCTTACTGCATTAAATAGTAAGGTACCCACTACTACTGCTCCAAAAGAGACAATTTGCACACAGGAAGAAGCTTGATGGCTTGCCAAACAGGGGCACCAGTAGATCAAATTTCAGGATTAAAACCACTTAAACACTAGTGCAAGCCTGCACCCTATTTGTGGATTGTAAACCTTCTTTGCACAAGAAATGCTGCTCAGTTAGTGACTGTTTCCACATCAGAACAATACCTGTTTCACTTTGTAAAAGTCTTGTCTTGTCAAATACAACCAACCTTCCCCTTGGGTCAACACAAACAACAAAAATGATTATTGAGGTTTTTTAGCCTCTAATTTATCTACAAATTCTTTCTAGAAAAACACAGACAGAGAAATCCACTGAAAAACGCTTATTGTAAAATTTGTGGTCAAATGGATTGGAAATTTTAATAAACTAACAACATTTTGGAAAAGATTTCTTTGCAAAAACAACTTTATAGACAAACAGTTAGTGTCATAAAACTGAAGCAACATCTGAACTTCACTGGTGAGTAATGCCCCTTCTCAATCTATTTGGGTCGCATCAGGTGCCTTTAACATGGTTTAATTCATTTTCCATCACAATAGTGTACCATCTCAGTGGGGGCGGAATGGTCAATACCACGGTTCGAAATGATGTAATAGAGACACAAAAAATAAAACAGCCTAGACTGCTGCTGCATTTATGTTTTTTTTTTTTGTGAAAAGAAGAGAGCCAGAGAAGGCTCTGGGGAGACCCGAAGCATTGTAGATCAATACAGACTAGACAGGGAAGCCATGCAGTATGAAATAGAATGATGCAAACTACAGGGGTTGGACAATGAAACTGAAAAACCTGTCATTTTAGTGTGGGAGGTTTCATGGCTAAATTGGACCAGCCTAGCAGCCGGTCTTCATTGATTGCACATTGCACCAGTAAGAGCAGAGTGTGAAGGTTCAATTAGCAGGGTAAGAGCACAGTTTTGCTCAAAATATTGAAATGCACACAACATTATGGGTGACATACCAGAG